GGCCACCATTGTCCAGGTCCCCCATCTCTCATCAAGATGACCGTGAAGGCACCCAGCTAAGCTCCTGCGGGCTTCCACTACAGTCTATTTTCAGCCCGGAAGCCAGACTGACCCCGTGAAAATGTTAAATCAGATCTGAGCTCAAAGCGTCTATGATACTTGTCATAGCCAGGAGAGAGGCCATGTGCCATCTGATCGCCTTCAGGGCCCCTTGTGGTCCTGATGTTCTACTTTCCCTCTGACCTCACCTTCCATCGGCTTTTCCTCCCTGCTCCAGCCACACCGGCCACCTTGCTGCTCTGCAAACCCCAGGCCCTCTCCTGTGTCAGAGGCTTTGTACACAGTTCCCCCTGCCAGGAACCTACTCCCTGTAGACGTCTGCACGGCTCACCTCCTTCTGTGCTGGCAATAAGGATGTGCTCAAGAAATGCTTTCTGAATGAATGACTGGAGAGCTGCAAGTCAAACAGCATACCTCCATTCATTTATCAGATTAGCAGACGTTTCAAAGTTCAGGAGGGTTATGTAAATGGGAAATCAAAAGTTCTTCTTAAAAGTAACACGTGTGCAGAAATGTGTGAGTGTGTGTGTGTACACTCACTGAAATGAGGCAGTGAGAGACTCAAGATTATATCTCCTGACATGGAGGGACACATAGGGCCAGGGGACAAAAGCAAGCTGTAGTGTGATGTGTATGCTGTGACTCTGTTTTATAAAAATAGACAAACACACACTCCAATCCCTGACTGTGTGTTTGCATGGTCAGGAGTGAGGAGGAAGCCGGGACGGATACACTGTTTGCTGCCACGTCTCACCCGAGTGGGGCTGGAGTAAAGGGGGAGACGATTAGCTTTTGTGCATAAGGCAGTCCCATTATCCACAGAGGATACGTTCCTAGACCCCCAGTGGATGCCTGCAACCATAGATAGTACCGAACCATACATATATTTTGGTTTTTTTCCCCATATATACACACCTTTCATGAAGTTTAATTTACAAATAAGGCACAGTAAGAAATTAACAACAATAACTAATAACAAAATAGAACAATTATAACAATACGCCATAATAAAAGTTATGTGGAAGGCTTTGGGGCCATTATTAAGTAAAGTAAGGGTGATCTGAACACAAGGCCTGTGATCCGATAACTGAGGCGGTGACTCAGTGACTGCCAGGCAGGAGCACCTACAGCCTGGGGTCACTCACGGCCCTGGCGGGAAGGAGCGGGACGATGTGTCATTTCATCACACTGCTCAGGAGGGCGCGTGATTTACAACGTATCCATTGTTTATTTCTGGAATTTTCCATTTAATATTTTCAGACCGCAGTTGACCTTGGGCAACTGGAACCACAGATAAGGGGGGCTATTGTATTCTTAGGTCCCAATGATAAATACTGAAGAGTAAGTCGGATATAGCAAGGACTGGGAAGATGTGAGGAGACAGAACTCTCCTACTCCCATGGTCAGTGGAAATCAGGCCAGATGCTGTGAAGAACGAAGCGGCAGGAGACGTGAGGGCCGGTGCCTTCTGAGCCGTGGTCACTCTTCGGGGCGCCTGCCCTCCTGCCCTGCACACAGACACACGCACCACGAGGCCACAGTGGGAAGAGCTGGAAGCCACCTAAATGCTCGGCATGGAGGGTACACGAGACACGGCCTGCTTGGAGGGGGAGTACTAGGAAGGAACCAGTCCCAGGCGGGCAAAAGAGGATGCTGAACACAGGAGGACGGCACCATGGGACAGAGACACCCTCGCTTTACACAGGTCATCGTGCAGGTGGCCTGTGTCATGGAGAGTGGGCAGTGGCTTGGAAGGACCCATGTTCAATGCCGAAAGGGGGCGCCTGCTAGAGTCGGATGTCCCATGTCACACCAGAGAATTTTACCCACAAATGCGTGCTGTCAATTAGGCGCTGGCAAAGCGATTACCTGTTAATTCAGGAACATTTGTTAAGTATCTGCTCTGGGTCAGGATCGACGTGACATATGATTTCCAAGAGCACCTGGTCCCCGTTAACCAGCGAGGTGCCTGTCTGTCATCGGCAGCTGTGCAAACCCTGATGAGGCCGGCGAAGTCATCACTCACTTACGTTTGCAGAGCTTGACTGACTCGTGTCTTGTGTGTGTGCGCAGTGTGTTAGGCATGGTGAATTGTGCAAGGTGTGTTGTGTGTGGCATGTAGTGTGTGTTGTGATATGTGTGTGTGGGGTATGTCGTGTGTGGCATAGTGTGTGTTACGGGTGGTATATTGCGGGTTCTGTGTGTGTCATGTGTGATGAGGTATGTGTGGTATATTGTGGTATATTTGTGTGTGTGTGTAGGGTATTGTGTGTGTTGTGGTATGTGTGTTGTGTGTGTATAGAGACTCACTCCCTACAACTCTACGCAGAATGCACAAAGCTGCAGCGGTTACTGCTGACACAGGAGGCACCCGATTTCCACACAAGCTGGCCCACGTCCCCAGCCCTTCTCCTCCCTCCCACAGAACCGCTCTGCTGCCTCGGGCCAAAGCAAGGGAGGACTTTGAGGAGATGAGCTGTCAGTTCACAACTCAATAAATAAATTCAGTGACAAGGCTGAGGCAGCTGGGAGTTCGTCACACACACTGGTTTTCCTGGGGACATAAGAGCCAACCGTGACCTGGAAGAAGGGGCCCTGAGCAAGGACCAGGGTTGGCCCACCCAGAGGGGAGGTGACTGCGTCTTGCATCGTGCCAGAGTCTAGCAGCAAAAGCCCCTCCATCCATGCCTGCGTCCCACACATCTGGCTCTGGGTTGAATTTGTCCCTTTACTTTGGTTCCTCATGAGAGGAGGCCTTTTTATTTTTACTAAGCAAGCAGCTTTGACACTACCTAATGTCCTATCTTTTATCTCTGGGAATTAGCAAGCAGCTTAGATGCTACCTAATGTCCTATCTTTTACCACTGGGAATTGTCAAGCATCAAAGTCACATGGATGAAGGATAGTCACGGGTCCCATGATGATGAACCTCAGCCAGTTCCGTCACTCTTAGCTTCACTCCAGGCCTGAGAGCAACCCTGACAAAAGTGCCAGGAGAGAGAAACCGCGGACCTGGGTAATGTGTGCTCTTGTGAGCTGTGCAGGGAGGGCCAGCAGGAGGTGCGCCCCGTCGTTTACTCAGTGCTTTAGAGTGGACAGGAGAAGGAAGAGGAAGTCGGCAGTACTCGCGGTTCAGCCAGAGGCGGCATCCTCGCGGTCACTCACCTGAGGCCAGAACAAGTGCTGAGGCTGACCATCGAGCCAGGGTATCCTTGCACGTGTCCGTGGTAGTAACAGTGACCCTGAAAGGAGAAGGTCTGTTCAGTCATAATGTTTTCTCACCTCAGATCTTCACTTGTTTCTAGCTATAGAATTTTCTTTTTCATAGAACATTCAGCCAGGAGTCGCACTATTTCATGCTAAGCCCAATGTGACACAGTCAGAGCCTATGGCTGGAAGATCTGATTTACCTAGAGATTATCGACAGGGTTTAAAAATGCACCGCAGTTCCATTCTTGTCTCTCCAACACCCTTCAGGAAAGCCCTGATGCCGAATGTCCGACACAACCCAGCAGCAGGACAAATCGCACTGATGTCACCATTTTACCCTCATGTAAATTGCCTCTTGGGATGAGATGAGGAACTGTATGGGGTATTTAAGCACACTGTGAAATGTGGTAAACTGAGGTATAAATCTATGGCTTATGAAAACAGAGAAGCTGATGAGAGGGAGGCGGGTAAGGAGAGAGAGGGGGACCTCACTGAGTCGCCCAATTGAGAGTGGACTGTCTAACTCAGCAGGAAAGAAAAATCGGAAGGCCTTCCAAGTCCAAGATGAAAGTCCCCGTGTGACATGCCTGCAATATTCCACTTGTTTAATGATGTCACTGCTTGCAAAAAGAACACAGCATGGACACTTCCTTCATGAAGATGAATTTCTGTCCAGAGTCAAGGTTAATGTTTCTCTTGAACAAAGGTTATGTTGCAGCCCCGACGTGGCTGACTAGCAAGCAATGGGTGGATACACCCAGCACTTCTCATTCAAGTCCTCTGAACGCCAGGGGCATGTGGTCCCGGCAGCTAAGGGCTGCGTCTTTGAAGGCAAACCGGGAGTGGGCGTGGGTTCCAGTGTGTCGCCTGTGTGCCTGCCTTAGCATACAGCTCCTTCACTCGTGACAACAGTAATTCGCTTTTTCGAAGACAGGGCTTGGTGTCCAGCTATTCTGCCCAACAGAAACAAAACTGAGAAGACCACCTTGACTTTGCTAAGAAAGAGGACCATCTAACACCGAGTGGCTGAGTAAACTGGAGAAGTCCATAAGAAAGGGGCCCATCTGGCACCCTGCAAAATCTTTACAACATTATTGATTATATTCCCCAAACTGTCTTTCATATCCCCGGTAGATGCATGACCACTGCACTGTACACCTGAAGCTGAATAATATTGTATGTCAACTATATATATATATGGTCACGGGATGTGGAGTACAGCATAGGGAATAGAGTCAATGGAATTGCAATAGCTATAGACGACGTCAGAGGGGCAGTAGATTGGGGGAGGGGGATTATCACTTTGTGAGGGGTGAAATGTCTAACTATTACATTGTTTTGTACACTAATAAAATTATTTTGAAACTAATAAAAATAAATAAAGGGGCCAAGATGATCTCTTTGTCACTGGGCAGAGGACAAAATTCTGGGATCATCTGAAAGGCATCGGAGGGAAATGAGTCTGGTGCAGGACATGTGTTATCTTGACATTTTCTTGATTCCAGAAGTTCTTTATATATTCAGGATATTAATACTTTGCCTGTTATGATGTGAGATGTCTTTTTAACTCACTTATGATAGTTTTGGTTGTACAGTTTACAGTTCTTATAGTCAAAGGTATCCAACTTTCCCTTTGTGCATTTTGTGTAATGTGTAAGGTGGCTTTCTTCAAGGTCATTACATAGGTCCGCCTTTATCTCCTTCTATTTCTACAGACTTACAGTTAGCTCTTTAATCTATCTGGAATTTATTTTTGTGGGAGTATGAGGTTGAAATCTAACTTTGCCCACAAACCGAGAGCCGGCTCTTCTGCACCAACATTTTCCTTTCCTTACTGATTTGAACATGCTACCTTGTTAGATATCAAATATCCACATCCGTACTTGGCTTCGCTTTTCTACTCCCTGAGCTACTCCACTGAGGCACACTCCATCTGTCTGCTCCTGTGCCAATACCACACTGTCTTAGTTACCACTGATCTGGAGTACATTTTGATGTCAGAGTATTAAGATTAAATTCACATACCACAAAATCACCTTTCAAAAGCACACAATTAGTGGGTTTTAGTATACTCACAAAGTTGTGCAGCCATCCTCACTCTCTAATTCTAAAACATTTTCATCATTCCAAAAAGATACTTCATACCCGTTAGTGGTTACTCCCCATTACTCCCTCCCCAACCCCTGGCAACCCCTAATCTACTTCCTGTCTCTATGGATTTGCCTACTTCACTCATCTCATCTCATGTAAGTGGAATCATATAGTATGTGGCCTTTTGTGTCTGGCTTCTTTCACTGAGCATGTTTTCAAGGTCCATTCCTGTTACTTCAGGTATCAGTATTTCAATCCTTTTTATCCTGAATAAAATTACATATAGATATACCAAATTTTATTTCTTCATTCATCAGTCAATGGGTATTTGTATTGTTTCCACCCGTTGGCTATTGTAAGATATGCTGCCATGAACATCTCTGTACAAGTCTTTGTGTGGACATATGTTTTCAGTTCTCTTGGGTACACGCTATGAGTAGGTATATGAGTATACACCTACAAGTGAAATTACTGGATCTTGTGGTAACTCGACGTTTAAGCTCTGGAGCATTCTCGAACTGTTTTCCCAAGCAGCGGATCCATTTTACATCCCCAGTATATGGGAGGAATGCATGAGCGTCCCAAATTCTCCACACCCTCACCAACACTTCCTGTCTACTCTTTTGATGGGACCCACCCCAGTATATGTGAGGTGGTATCTCACTTGGCTTTGATTTTCATTTTCCTAATGACTAATGACATTGGGCACCTTTTCACATGCTTGTTGGCCATCTGTGCATCTTCTTTGGAGGAATGTTTATTCAAATCCTTTGCCTATTTTTGAATTGGGTTATTGTCTTTTTATTGTTAAGCTGGAAGAGCTCTTTATATATTCTGGATAGCAGTCCCTCCTCTGATATGATTCACAAACATTTTCTCCCATTTTGTGGGTTGTCTTTTCACTGTCTTGATCATGTATTTTGAAGCACAAAAGCTGACCATTTTGACAAGGTTGAAGCTATCTTTTTTTTTTTTTTTAGTTGCTTATGCTTTAGGTGCCGTGTCTAAGAAACCATTACCTAACCTAAGGTGATGAAGATTTATACCTTTTCTGAGTTTTATAGGTATAGTTCTTACATTTAGATCTTAGATCCACTTTGAATTGATTTGTGTTTATGGCTTGAAAGAGGAGCCCAATTTCACTCTTTTCTGCATGTAGATATCCAGGTGTCCAGCACCATTTGTTAAAAGACTATTCTTTCCCCAATTTGTCTTGGCACCCTTGTTGAGAGCAAGTTTCCTTTGGGTACTATTCACTCTTTCAAAAGTTTCTAGGCTATTATTGCCTATTATTTTCTCTTTCAGGTGAGTTGTAGAATCAAATTTAAGCTCCATAATAATAATCCATTGAGATTTCTGCTTGGACTACATTGAATGTATAGGTCAATTTAGTATGAATTGGTAGTTTTACCATAAAGAGTTTTCCTATTCATGTACATGGTATGTCTCTCCATGTAATAAGGCTGTTTTTATGTCCTCCAGTCTAGTTTTGGAATTTTTTTTCATATGGCTATTAGAATGTTTTCATTAGGCTAATGCCTAGGTATTGTATGTCGGTTGATATCATGAATAGGATCTTTTTTCTATCATGCCTTACACATGGTAATTTTTAATGTATTTTTATATGTTTTTTATTTTTTATGGTTTTTTTTTTTGCTTTTTAATCTTTTTATGCTTTTGTTTTTTTAAAGTTTATCTTGTATCAGGCCCTTTGCTGAACCGTCTTATCATCTTAATAGTTTGTAGCATACTTTGGATTTTTTGTGTTCTTGAGTATATCAATTACAAACAATGAAAGTTTTGTGGGCTCCTTTTTGACCCCCATACAGGTTAATGAATGGAATGGCTAGGTGTCCAGGGGCAAAGGCGGGAGGGGGCTTGCCTGCCGAGGCAAAGCGTGGGCAAAGACAGTGGGCGATGGGGGAGGGGCAGCAGCTCAGGTTCAGGGTTACTTGTGCATGGATGTAAGATTCAGGAAGAGCGTGGCACTCACAGTGCCCTGTCAGGGTGTCCCGTTCGGTGAGCACATGGCTTAGGAAAGAATGCATGAGGGAGAGTGGTGGGGAACGCCGGCGCAGACTGCCCCATCAGGCACCCCGCTGGGCTAAGGGAGATCTTGCTGCCAGCTTACCACCTTAGCTTTCGTGTGAAATACCTTCTGAATGGCACCACGTTCCCCTCTCTCTAGATAACTCTATCTTGGGTACTTAAGGGAGGTGTGATAATTTTGTAAACATAAGGGGATCATGTAACTGCATTAAAAAGCTCCCTGGACCACTCTGCACAGGGTAAGGGGACATCAGCTCTGGGTACCCAGCAGGCATGCCAGAGCTGAGACAAGTCAGAAAGTGACAGGACAGCAGCTGATGTTAGTGCTTAGGCGGCCTGGGGTAGCCAGAGTCACTGGGTTTTGACAGTCATATATCTTTGGGGGTCCCATATGGTACAGAATTTGCGTCATTTTTAGAGAATGTGAAATGTTGGTATAGGTAGCTAAGTATTGGTTAAAAAATAAAAAAACCAAATGGTGACCCCGTAATCTTAATTACTGACCTCTGAAATTCCAAACTCATTTATTTCCAGTCTCAATTTATTTTTAATAGATTATTTATCAAGTGTGCTTTCAAATTAAATGCCCAGACATATAAGCTCATTAAAGCGTGAGCTGAGTACAAATTAGTACAAAATTAATTTTCAGTTCAACAACTAGGTTGAAGTATTGCTTGTAAAAGAGGAGGGGGTGGATTTTAGCTCTCATAAGCTGGTCCTTAGACAATCCCACCTCTCTTAGTCATCACCAGAGTTAATGACTTATTTCTTAGCTCTAAGACCAGTTTTTATTTCTCTTCAGACAGCTGACTAACAAGCCCATTGCTCACTGACTAATCGAAGAAGCAATTAACTTCTTAGATGGCTAAGCATAATTACCAGAACTCCAATT